CCGAGGTCAGTGCTAACTACATTACATGGGCCTATTAGGAGGGCTCTTGGAGGCCTTTGGGGGCCTCTCTTGGGCCTCTTGGAGGCCTGCTGGCGGTCTCGGGGGCTCCCTTGGGGCGGATGGCTCGAAATCTCAACTCGAGTTCTCCCTCTGGGACCCTTGTGGAGGCCCTATGCGGGCCCTCTTGGGCCGTCTTGGGGCCTTCGTGGGAGCCTCTTGGGCCGCCTTGGGGTGATCTGGGAGGTCTCTTGGGTCGTCTTGGACGGCGTGAAGGCCGACACATAGCATATGCTAGAATGCATATCCTAAGGGGATGGGACGGTTTGTGTATCTTGGAGCTATCTTGGAAGGGCTCTTGGGGGTTTCTGGGGGCATCTTGGAGGCCTCTTGGGCCGTCTGGGGGTCATCTGGAGCGTCTTGGACCGATCGCTCGGCGACTCGGGGTCCTCTTGGACCGTCTGAAAAGCTTCTTGGAGCCCTCTTGGCCCGTCTTAGAGCCGTCTTGGGGCACTCTCGGCCGCCTTGGGCCCTCCAGGGGCGCTCGCGACCCAAGAACCGACTGCCGCACCTGGAATCAAGCCAGACCCGCTTTCTAGGTAGATAGGTATTCATTCTATTAGTGCAGCTACATGTGCGTGTGCGTGTGTGCGTGTGCGTGTGCGTGTGCGCGCGCGCGCGTGCGTGCGTGCTTGTGTGTGTGTGTGTGTGTGTGTGTGTGTGGGTGCGTGCATGCGTGTTTGTGTGTGTGTGTGTGTGTGTGTGTGTGTGTGTGTGTGTGTGTGTGTGTGTGCGTGCGTGCGTGCGTGCGTGCGTGCGTGCGTGCGCGCGTCCGTGCGCGCGTGCCGCGCGTGTGTGTGTGTGTGTGTGTGTGTGTGTGTGTGTGCGTGCGTGTCGTGTGCGTGCCGTGTGTGCGTGTGTGCGTGTGTGTGCGTGTGTGTGCGTGGAAGTGTGTGCGTGTGGGTGTGTGTGTGGTGTGTGTGAGTGTGTAAATGTGTGTGTGTGTGTGTGTGTGTGTGTGTGTGCGTGCGTGCGTGCGTGCGTGCGTTCGTGCGTGCGTGCGTGCGTGTGTGTGCGCGTGTGCGTCTGCGTGTGTGTGTGTGTGTGCGTGTGGTGTGTAGTGTGTGTGTGTGTGTGTAGTGTGTGTGTGTGTGTGTGTGTCGGTGTGTGTGCGTGTTTGTGTAAGTGTGTGTTTCTGTGTGTGTCCACCACCGTGCTGTATGCAATGTGTGGAATGCCCTTAGGTTCAACTTTTCTGCGTTGAATACTCTACATGCACTTCCGGGGGCACAGGACCCCCCGAATTTTCAAGGGATCGTCGCGTGTCCGCAGGTTCTTCTCGCGTGACTTTTCCAGATGCCAGTGAGCCCAATAACGGCCCAAGATGTCCAGAGAGTCCTCTCGACTGCCCGAGGGGGCCTCTGGACGGACGAAGATAGCTCCAGGATGCTCCAAACCCACTGGTTGGCCCAATGCTTTTGGATTGTTCACGTTCTCGCCTCTTCGGGCATCCGGCGCCCTAAGACGGCCCAAAAGGCCCCCAAGATCGCCCCGAGAGGCTCTCACGAGGGTCCCGGGAAGCCCCGAGATGGCCCACCAGGGCGCCCCAAGATGGCCCACCACGGCCCAGGAGGCCCCCCCAACAGAGGCCCCAAAGGGGGGGACCGCAGAGGGGCCTTGGGAGCGTCTCCTCCAATGTTGCCCTCACGACGCGCAGCATGCCCCCAAGAGAGTGCACCAGGAGCGCTCAAAAGGCCCCGAGAGGCCCCCAAGAGGCCTCCCAAAGAAGGCCTCCAAGAGGCCTCGCCAGAGGCCCCAGGGGCCCCCTCCAAGAGGCTTCCAAGAAGGTCCCGAGAGGCATCCCCAGCGACCTTAGCAAGCATCCGAGAGGCCTCTGGTACACACATCCAGGCACGGTGGCGGGACGGGCCAGAGGCCACTATACCACAAGGTCTGCCACCCAGCGCACTCAACAATGCCATGTACATCGGGCATCTGCTTAAAGAGGTAACTCGTCGTAGGTGGACAGCGTCGATCAAGTCTATCAAGGGCGAATGAACACTCGTCCTCATCCTCCTCATCCTCTCTCCACTCAATTACCTCCACTTCCTCCTCTCGGCTACACGCAAGAAGTGACCCTATGTAAGAGTGATCTTCGGTGCACGGCTTCCGTGGGCCGCGGGCTGGGCCACATCCAGGCGCGCGATCCAATGGCATCGCATCGCATCCAGCCATCGGGCCGGTGGGCCCCGCGCTGAAGGCCACCCTCGCGAAGAGCCACTTCTACGTACCGAATCCTCCTCCTCCTCCTCCTCCTCCTCCTCTTCCTCCTCCTCCTCCTCTTCCTCCTCCTTCTCCCTCCTCCTCCTCCTCCTCCTCCTCCTCTTCCTTCTCCCTCCTCCCAGCCCGTCCTGATCGGTGAACTGCCCGTCAAGCCCGCTCCAACACGCGAAGACCTCGCGGCGCACAGTCGGGCGTGTGGCGCGGGGGCGGGCGGCCCCCGCAGCAACTGGGGGAACGCCACGGTGGGGTACGGGCAGAGGTGGGGCTCGATGAGCATCGCCCCGACTGGCCCTTGGAGGGAGGACATGTTGCCGCTTCCGGAAACCCTGAGCCCAAAGATGTTTTCATCTCATGGGGGCACGTTTTTACTTCCGACACCCTCCGCCGCCCTTCCCCCGCTTTCCGCCGGCGGAGGCGGCCTCGTTTTGCTTCCGCCGATCTTCCGCCGACCTTCCGCCGCGGAAGAGATGATAACTCCTTCGATCCTCGAAGGCGAGGCCCTCTCTGAAGCGCCCCATGTGCCCGTACGGCTGGGGTACTTCCCTAACCCCGCCTTGGGATGACCTCACCCCACTCTGCGAGCCTCCCGACTTCGCAGGGCACGGCGCCTCTCGGAAAGGACTGGAGGCCTCACTCGGCGGCGAGCGCGGGGGGGAAGTATCGGGGGAGCGCAAAAATGGATCGGGGGAGGTGCCCTCCCCAAAGTGCGGCCAGTGCCGCCTCGTTCGGCGGCGGAAACCTGCGAATTCCGATGCCGATGGAAACGGGACCCGTCGCTAATCCACGCCCCCTTGAGCCATGCTTGCGATCGCCTGAAAGTGAGAAGGGGCGGGCCTTCTCAGAAGGCTCGGCAGTCCCCCGGCCTTCTGAACCGTTTCCTAAGCCTTCCCCGAGGACGCAGAACATCTCTCAGAAGGCCGGAGGTCGCCGCCTTCCGAGAAGGCCTTCTCTCTCTCTCTCTCTCCCTCCCCTCCCCCTTCGCTCGCCGCCTTTTTTGGTGTACTAATAATAATAATAATAATTATTATTATTATTATTGTTAGTATTGTTATTATTATTATTATTATTATTATTATTATTATTATTATTATTATTAGTATTATTAGTATTACTACTATTACTATTACTATTACTATTACTATTACTATTACTATTACTATTACTATTACTATTACTATTACTATTACTATTACTACTATTATTAGTATAATACATACATATATATACAACATATTCTTCTGACATCGGAACCCACAGCAGGCAGGGACTTGTGGGGCAGAGGAGCGCACCGTGGAGAGGATGCGTCGGGGGGCCCGCCGCACACGAGAGGGCCCGGCGGCCCCACGAGGAAGGCCCCCCTCGCAGGCTGCACGCAGGGCAGGGCCCGAGCAGGGGCGCCCTCTGGCGCGCGGCCCGCCGCCCGCGGCGCGCGCTGCGGCAGCATCTGGCGGCGTGCGCGCTCGGGCTCGCCCCGCCCCCCCCCTCCTTCTCCTGCTCCTGTTCCTCCTCCTCCACCTCCTCCTGCTCCTCCTCCTCCTCCTCCTCTGCTCCTCCTCCGCCTCCTCCTCCTCCTCATCCTCCTCCTCCTCCTCCTCCTCCCTCCTCCTCCTCCTCCTCCTCCTCCTCGTCCTCCGCCTCCTCCTCCTCCGCCTCCTCCTCATTCGTCCTCCTCCTCATTCGTCCTCCCCCTCCGCCCCGTAGGCACCCCCGCGCCCCTAGAGGCCTCCCAAATGTGGCCCGAGTAGATTTAGGTCGGGCGTGTCCTCCTGCAGGCGGGTTTTAAACGAAAAACTTATAAAAGACGATCCAAAGTAATCGTGCATATTCTGAAAAGAGGACGAAAAGTCGTCATCCGCCTATTTTCTACTGTTCGTGAGCATTCCTCCCGTAGAGGGACATGCTCGACTTGAGAGTAGGTGGGGTCGGAGGGTCGCGCCGTATCGCAGATGTATCGGCCATGCGGCTCGGTGTGGAGCCCGACCTGTACCACGCCGGCTGCGCCAGTGCATCGCCGACGTCGGCGATGCACCTCAGATGCGATGCGGTGGTTTTGATTTCGGCGACGGCGCATTTTGTGAACCACCAAATGCCCTCGTTGCGCTGCCGAGGTTTAGCACAAGGCTGGCAATCAAAATTTCCGCCCGTGAAAACGTATTTGTCGCAATGTGTGATCAGGCGGTGGCATCGTCAACACCTGCCCCACGGAACAGACTGAGCGAAATATAAGAAAGCCGGAACACTCGGCGGCGAGGCCCCGGGGGGATGCAGAGGGGCGGGCTTTCTCAGAAGGCTCGGAGTGCTTCCGGCCTTCCGAGGCATTTCCGAGGCCTCCTCCGAAGACCGGGGCGGCTTCTCAAAATGCCACGTGGCTTCTGAGAAGCCCCGCCGCCCTTTCAGAGGGCCTGCCCCCTCTCGCTTCCCCCCGGGCGCGCAGCCGACCTACGTCTGGCGTTCGGGTCCTCACTCGGGTCTCCCGCGGCCGTTCGGGAAGATTCGGGCACCCGCGACACGCTCGGGGCGAGGCGCAGCTGGAACGCATCACGAGGCAAGACCGCCTCCTGGAGCAGACGACAACGTTAGAAAACGTGGAGCCGCGCACGAAAGGTTACTCCAGCGAAGTGTCACTGCTGCTTGCATCCGATCTTGCAAGGCCGCCCCCCTCGCTCCGCCCATTTTGACGGCACCGCCAAAAGACCGCTGTCGAGTGTATCCAGCTGAACCTCGATCTCACGGAGTCGTAGTAACGGTCGACAACGCCGCTGAGGTCCGACTCCTGGAACCCTCTGTTCATGAGCTCCAGCGCGGGCTCGATCTTGAGGTTGAAGGTGACAACGCCTTCCACCACCAACTCCCTCCTGCTCATCCTGTTCCTCCTCCTACTCGTCAAACTTCTCCTTCTTCATCCTCCTCATCCTTCTACTCCTTCTCTCACGCCTCCTCATCCCTTCCCTCTCTCTCCTCCCCCCCCCTCGTCCTCCACATCGACGTCGTCGTCGTCCTCCTTCTCATCCTCCGCATCCTCCTTCCCCCCCTCCTCTTCCTGCCCCGGATTACGCCCTCCCCACCACAACCGCCTTCTGCTCCCCATTTCCTCTTCCTGCTCTTTCCCCCCTGTCCTCCTCCTACCTCCTCCTCCTCCTCCTCCTCCTCCTCCTCCTCATTCACCCCTTTCTCCTCCTCCTCCTCCTCCTCCTCCTCCTTTTCTCTGTCTTTGTCGTCGTCGTCGTCCTCCTCCTCCTCTTCCTCCTTCTCCTCGTCTTGCACTTTGCCCCTGTCCTCCACCTTTTCATACTCCTGCCCCTCCTCTCCCTCCCCCTCTTCCTCGACCCCGTCCTCCCCCCCTCCATCCCTGCATTCCTCTTCCTTGTAGACAACTCCCCCTCGTCGTGCAGTAAGACTTGTCGGTAGGTGGTCAATGCGTTTCGCATTAGACATGCTCACAGTCTATCATCCCCCAGACTTGCTGTGCCCAACAGTTGCACGAAAGGAAGCCATGTTGTTCACAACATGTGGCTCTCGCTCAAGACTTCCTGACAATGTGTGATCCCACATCCGAGCGCCACACGATCGCACCACCGTGCCATCGTGCCTGGTGTGCTGCCAACAGCTTGCCGTCGCTCGGACGTCCGTTTCCCGTGCATGTTTCGGTACCGTGCGTGCTTTCTCTGCTCCATGGTCCAGGATGGTCCTCGATGGCTCTCGCCGGGAAACAATGCGCACGCCCGAGCGATGCCCAGACAAGTGCGCAGCCGGAAGCCGACGGCCTACCCGCACCGCGCGGTCGCCCGGGACTGCCACCCACGCCCGCCCGCCACCGCGTGTCCTGGGGGCGCGGCCGTGGGGCCCCTGCCCCCCCCCCCCCCTGGGGCTCGTGCGGGTCGTGGAGCGGTGGGCGGGCTGCAGGGCTCCTGACAGGGCTCAGGCCCCCGATCGATTGGCTGGCATGGGGGCCTCCCAGACAGGATCCGCGTGGGCAGGGTCAGGTCGGACATGTCCTCCTGCAGGCGGACTTTGTACGAGGCATGAAAGTCGTCCAACGGTGATCCGAACCTATTCCAAAGAGAATCGAACAGTTGTCCCCAGACTATGCTTGGCCTGTTCTGGAACATTTGCCCTGTAGAGGGACATGTAAAAGGTGGGGCCTGAGGACCGCGCCGCACCGCAAGTGTATCGCCGATGCATCGGCGAAGTCGGCACGGAGAGAAATCAGGCTCCACACCGAGCCGATCGCCGAGGCGTCGCGCTCGCCCTCGGGGCGCACCTCCCGAGGGGCCTGGCGCGCGGGCCTCCTCCTGGCGATCCTTAGAGGGCAGCGCGCACAAGGGGGGGCCCTGTGGCCTCCGTGGGCGCGCGCCTGGGCCGGGAGCCGCGAGCCTCCCCCGCGCAAGGCAGGCCGCGGGCCCCCTTCCCCCCCCCTCACAGGAGGCCGCGGCTGCGCCGGGTCTGCGCTCCCGGGGCCGCCGCCCCCCCCCCCCCTACACATCGCGCCCGGGGCCGCGGCCCCGCCCACAAGCCTCGAGCACATTCCACCCAAGAACGCCTTGAGCGCCCCTTGCAACGTCGGCCTCTCCCATGCCGGAGGAGGTCGGCGCATGCTCTGGGGGGGCGCGACGCGGCAGCCCCATGCTGACCGACATTGGAGGGGGGGCGCCAAAAAATACTTCGCCCTCATTGACATCCAATTCCAGACAATCACATGCGCAAGTACTGTACGTTCTTTGCCAGACGACTTGCGCGCTGGCCTCTTGCACTGCGTGGGTCCTACAACTTTAGAGAATCACAACTTGTCGAGAATCCAAATCGTGCATGTTGCCCGACTCCGGACCACTGGCGTCGTCCAACCTTGAATGCCCGCACTGTGGTCGCTGCCGCGTCGACGCGACGCGAACATACCGTAAGATACATGACGCATGTTTTACTTTAATTTGTCGAGGGTAGTAGGTCAAGCTGGATCCGCGGTGACAAGGCCACGACTACCTGGGACATCGCAGGATGCCCCCAGAACTCCAACGGGTGTCCAGGGACGTTGGGGAACTAGAGACTTCCGAGGGGCATCTGGTGGCAAGCCAATCCCGCCAGCCCTTTTTATCGTGAGTGGTCTAACCAACTCGTTCTGCCAACCACCCTTTTTCCCCTCCAGGTACGAGGGGGGTCCCCCTACCCCTACCCCCTACCCCCTACCCCCCCGCGCGATGCGTCAGCGGGTCCTATTTGGCCAGATGGCCCCAAGAGGGCCCTGGAGAGCCCAAAATGGCCTCCAAGATCGCTCAACAGATCCCACGATGTTTCAAGATGGCCTCCGGTATGTCTCCAAGAGCCCTCAAAATCGCCCCAGGACGGCTCCAGGGTGCCCTCCGATCCTCCAGAAGAGACGTCCACTGGGACAACATTCATTCAACGCCATAGTGCTTTTACCAATGCCGTTTCCGCGGCCCATAAAGCTCCAGGGGGCCCTCCTATCCTCCAAAAGAGACGTCCACTGGGGCAACATTCACTCAACGCCATCGTGTTTTTACCAATGCCGCTTTCGTTCTTTCCTGTTCCCTTCCGATGGGCTCTTGAAGCCCCAAGATGGCTCCAAGACGGGCCCCACGATGGCCCCAAGAGGCCTCCAACGCGCTCCCAGAGCGACGCGCGCACGGCGAGCAGCGACAAGCAACCAGACTACCAAGGCGGCCCTGGGCACTCACAACTTCCTATTGTAGGGAGCGGCATCCTTGTAACATTGCCCCCACGTGACCCAAAGTGGCTGCGGCGCCTTGGAGGTCCCCGTGAGGCACCTTAAGAGCCCCGAACACGTTGGCATGATGGTCCGCAAACCACTGGGTTCTATGACCCTGAAGCTGCATATCTTCGACACCTACACGGATGTACTACGGTTCTCCCCATCAATCGGACGTCAATTCCCCGTGCATTTGTCGGTGTCGTGCGTTTATTGTTGGCCGGATGATCCAGGATGATCCTCACCGATAAAAAAACGCACACGTCCGAGCGATGCCAAGGGTTTACTTTAGAGCGCGTGATCACACTGAGAACGTTCTGGCAGTTGCTGACCTCACGCTCGGACATCCCAACAATGGATCGGTTGGGGGCGGGGCCTTTTTCGAAATCGTGCTCTCTCCGGGCGCCGCACGCACCCCAACACACCAAATGCTTACGGAGAGAAGCTTGTGCTTGGCGTGTCACGGCGGCGACCCCTGCGACACGCCGTGCTGTGTAATTCGGCTGGTAGCGTGTCGGCCCACTCCGTGGGGCGGGAAGCGTGGAAAAGCTCAGACCGGTGACGCTTGGGAATTTGGGCGTACGTAGCGCGTCGCGCCGAAGCGCGATGGATCAGAACAGGCGGCGCTACACGAAGCAAACGCTCCTAATGGTAAAATGAGCGCTGACGCGCGTTGCGAAGCATCGGACTCACCTTTTCCAATCCTGCGACTTGTTATGTCGTGGCCGTCGGGATCCGTCTCTTCCGGCCTTCCCAGACCCAACCATTATCTCTGTCGGGGCCACACCAGTGGCAACCTGTCGCGTCCCCATGGGGCGCTCAACTGCTCAGCGGACATTCGTCATCTTTGAAAGGAGGACGTGATGTACCGCAGGCTCTAGGACAGAAGAACTTCCTTCGAGAACACGAGACCCTCGGCCGGCCAAAACACGCAGAACATCATTCGGGTCAGGCGAGAGGGGGGATAACAAAGGGGGGGTGAGAATCAGCTCACGTAGCTAATTTTCCCGGCGCCTCCCGGCGCCGGAGGTGGCAATGTATCGAGGAATGGGCCCGGCGGCGGGGCCGAAACCAGCTGCATGCAGCAGACTTCGTACCCCCCCCTTTCCCTATTCCCCCCCTTTCGTCCGGCCCGAATCCTGGGGTGCCCTCCCCAGGATGCACGAGAACATCCCACAGGCACGAAGAACATCCTGCGGCACCGACCTCGACCTCATGCCTCGGTCCCCCTGTGCCCGCATGGACTCGCGACAGGGAGACCCGGGACGAGGGGACGTGCTGCAGGGTCAATATCGCATGCGGGGTCATCTCTGGCCCTCTGCCGCCCCTCGTTGTTCGCCCCTTTCTCCCCGCCCCGTCTTCGTCCCTCTCCCCCTCCTGCTTTCCCTCTTCTTTCCCTCTTCCTGCTCCTCCTGCTCCTCCTGCTCCTCCTGCTCCTCCTGCTCCTGCTCCTGCTCCTGCTCCTGCTCCTGCTCCTCCTCCTCCTCCCCCTCCTCCTCCTCCTCCTCCTCCTCCTCCCCCTCCTCCTCCATCTCTCTCCCTTCCTCCTCCTCCTCCTCCTCCCACCGCTTCCTCAATCTCCCTAGATCTCCCTCCTCCTCCTCCTCCTCCTCCTCCCCCTCCTCGTCCTCCATCCCCCCTCCTCATCCTCCTTCTCCTCCTCCTCCTCCTCCTCCTCCTCCTACTCCTCCACCTTACTCCTCTCTCACCCGTGGCAGGAGCGACACAATCCCCGACACCCGACGCTGTGCTTCTTTCAGAGTGCGCGGCCCCGGGAGGTGCCCACCGCTCCCCCGGGTGTGTCATGTTTTGTCCTGGACCCATTCCACAGTCCCTGGCCCCGAGGCCGGGCCCCAGATAGACAAGCGCGTTCCACTGCTCGCAACGCAACTGCTCGCAAATGGCCTGGATGCGCGGCCGTGGATTTCGATATATTACATCGAGGCAGACATCTGTCCTTCGGACATTTGCGAGTAACGTAGGCACTCTGCGAGTATGTGGCACGCGCTCGGGGACCAGAAGCCGAAACCGAGGGAAACTGCCGGCTTCGAAGCAACCATGTCGCCAGACCCAGACCACCGACGTCATGATTTGTTCATGACGTCGGCCCCCCAGAGGTTTCGACCTTTTCCCCCGGGACCGGTTTTTCATCCCGAGCCGTTTTTTACGCTCCCGAGGCCCGGCAAGAGCCCCCCGGGGCCGAACATAGCAAAAAACCTCCCGTCGTGATTGTTTCATTCCTCGAGGGGGTCCGGGGACGGCGGCGGCGACGACGGCGCGGGAGAACGACGGCGGCGGCGGCGGCGCCTTCCGTGGGCACCTGCACGAGGCCGACCGACTCGGCCCTCTCCGGGTGGCTCCACCTGGCGCTCCTGCCGTGGCCGGGGAAGGGTGCGGCGCGCCGTGCGGGAGGCTCCTCCTCCTCCTCCTCCTCCTCCTCCTCCTCCCTCCTCCCTCCTCCCTCCCTCCTCCTCCTCCCTCCTCCCTCCTCCTCCTCCTCCCTCCTCCTCCTCCTCCTCCTCCTCCTCCTCCCCTCCCCCTCCTCCTCCGCCTCCGCCTCCTCCTCCCGCCTCCTCCTCCTCCTCCTCCTCCTCCCTCCTCCTCCTCCTCCTTCCTCCTCCTCCTCCTCCTCCTCCTCCTCCTCCTCCTCCTCCTCCTCCTCCTCCTCCTCCTCCTCCCTCCTCCTCCTCCCTCCTCCTCCTCCTCCTCCTCCTCCCTCCTCCTCCTCCTCCTCCTCCTCCTCCTCCTCCTCCTCCTCCTCCTCCTCTCCTCCTCCCTCCTCCTCCCTCCTTCCTCCTCCTAGGTGGGGTCCGAGCAGATTGGATCGGAGGATCGTGCCGCATCGCCGATGCATCGATGGCGTCGACGCACCGACGGGGTGGAGAGAAGCGGGCTCCACATCGAGCCGCGTCGGCGACCCATCGGCGATGCGGCGCGATTCTCCGACCCCATCTGCTCGGACCCCATCTGGGAGGCCTAAAGGGTGTGTGTGTGTGTGTTTGTGTATGTGTGTGTGTGTTTGTGTATGTGTGTGTGTCGCCGGCCGTGTCGGCTTTTGGCGGTCTCTGCCCTTGGCTTCTGGTGCCCTTGTCTAGTTTGCATCACCTGGATTTCTCTGCCCTGCCACCGTCTGTACGCGCGGCCCCCAGGGACGCGCAGTTTTCTCGCGTGGCATCGTACACCAGAAGAAGCACAGTTCCTCAGGAACTGCGGGTCGGCCTGGCGCTGTTCTGGGACTTGCTCGACCGCGGGGCGGAACTTGCAAGAGTGGCGGGACTCGATCCCGCCATATTTGCTATTGACGGGACTTGGTTCATCCTGATCTGACAATGCAATGGTATGTTATTACCCCAGGGCGCGAACAATTCCCGTCTCGCCACAGCCGCGGGTCTCCCGTCCCGCCCCAGCAGCGAGTCCTCGCTAGGAGTCCAGGGAGAGGGGGGTAGACTCGTCGCATCAGGATCATGACAATGATCACTGTCATCATCGTGAAGACGATCACCGCGATCATCACCATCACCCTGATGGTCGCCAATAACGTGACCACGGACGCGTTCAAGATGGCCATGCCAGACACCATCAATTGAACCACGAACACCAGGCACGTGAATGCGCGTCACCTGACGCACGTCCAGTCTTATCTGCCCTGCGCGACGCCCTTCAACACATCCAAGGAACTTTACTCCCGCCGCAGCAAGGAGTCTAATATTTTTCCACACGAAGCACCCACCAGCGCCCACAGCTCGATGTTTCCACAGTCAGGCTGCCAGCTGCCAAATGCAGGCACTCACGTGCTGCCCGCCAAGCCTGGAACCTTGGACTGGAGCAGCGGGGCAAATGCACACGTCATGGAATCGGTGCTGCGAAATCACGCAAGTCCGGGATGAAGGAGTCTAACCACTTTGAGCGTAGCCCGCGTTCGTCTTTAAACCACGGACTGGTCTCTTCAGCGCAACGGAGGACAAGCGTGTGGCTACTGTCTTGCGCATGACCTCCTCTTCCGCTCTTGCGCTGCTCGCCCAGGGCCGCCCGGGCACCCGGGGGAGACGGCGGCCTCGACCTGACCAGCGCTCGTCGCGCGCGCGATCTCGATTTGAGATCGCGCGTCGGGCTGCTCGCGTAGCGGCCGCTGCTTAAACGCTGCGGGGGAGGAAAACACGTGTGCGTGTGTCTGTGTGGTCTTCGGGGATTCTCAGGTCAGCCACGCTGCTTCACAAAGAAACCAACATTCTTTGAGGGTGCACCCCTAATCTTTTACCGCTACTTAGACCTCGCTGCTGCGTCGGAGGAAGGTGTGTGTGTGTGTGTGAGAGAGTGAGTGAGAATGCGTGTGTGTGTGTGTGTGTTGTGTGTGTGCTCTGCCCAGCCGCCGACACATAAAGTGTGTGCGCGCGTTTTCATGCGTCTGTGTGCAATGCACGTGTCGCCATACACAATTTTTGATCAGCTTGAACGCCTTTCCCGGGTCAAGCGCTCAACCAGTTACCACGCCAACATAAACATCTTCAGGCGGTGTGCTATCAAAACGTCGGCGGAGAGGTCATACTATAAAACCAGGCAGTCTGTATGCTTCGGGGCAGAGCTTCGCTAGGCACGCGCCGTGACCGTCTGGACGGCCAGCGCTTACCAATCAAGTAGAAACTAAGTCACTTAAAATGGCCCGTGGGCCGCCGTGGGACGATACAACAGGCAGAAGCGCGGGGGGTGGGAGGAGCAGGAGGTCAGCCAGAGGAGGAACATGTCCAGACTTTGCTGCTACTGAGGTTGCACTTCGCAACGGCGCTGGAGGAAACACTGTATGTGAATGATTGTGGGTGCCTTCCGCCCTTATGCTCCAGTCCACCTGATCGTGCTCGGCCAACTTTGCATTTTCATAGCCGCAGCTGCGTTTTCCAGATGCATGTGCGTCCCCGCGTTTTTTTCTGCAAGCGACTGCCGCCATCCCATCCACCCATCTGCTACGCCAGGTAGAAATTCGCCAAAGCGTGCCCCAGCTTAGCGCATCGCGACGGTGTCGTCACCTCGCCGCTGGTGGAAAACGTGTGCGTGTATATGTGCGAGTGTTGTGTGTATGTGTATGTGTGTATTAGAGAGAGAGAGAGAGAGAGAGTGTGTGTATATATGGGTGTGTATATATGTATATATATATATATGTCTATACATATATGTGTGTGTGCGTGTGTCGCTGCATTGCCCCTCCTCCTGGCGCTTCTGAAGGATGTGCCACACTCTCCGGGCGTCGTGGTCCAGGTCTGGTCTGGTCTGAGTCGGACACAGGTCGACCAATACTTCTGGCCTGGCCTGAATCGGACCCGAGTTGACCTGAGCGGGGTCGTGCCAGACAGTCTGGTACGCCTCAGGTCGAACAACACATCCTCGCGTCGTGTGAACAAGTGTGCGTCGCACCCTCACCACCCAGAGCGCATCGAGTCCATCATGGATTCATGGTTGAACCTCCGTACGCTTTCTGCCTTCGGCGCAGAACGTTGTGCCAATATCAAGTCAGGGTTGCGGGAACCGTTCCACAGCATTCCCCCCTATGCAGGACCCTTCTTCTTACTCCTCCTCCTCCTCCCTCCCCCAGCCTCCTCGTCCTCCTCGTCTCTCTTGCTTCTCCTCCATCACCCCTCGTATGCTCCTTCCATCCTTCAGAACCATCGCTTTTGCCCCCTCGTCCTCCTCCTCCCCCCCGCCCGCCTCCCTATCCTCCCTCCCTTTCCCCTCCTCCTCCTCCTCCTCCTCCTCCTCCTCCTCCTCCTCCTCCTCCTCCTCCTCCTCCTCCTCCTCCTCTTCACTTCTTTCCTTCGCCCCTCCACCCTCACTCGTTCTCCCCCCCTCTCTCCCTTTCCCCCTGCGCTTGTGCCAGGGATACCGTCGCGCTGCTCTCTTGACGAGCGGCGGCGCGGATTGGCACGAGGCAGGGGCGGTGGACACAAGAACGGCGCTGTGAGATGGGGGTTGTCCCCCTTTCCCCCTCGTCCTTCTCCTCCTCATCCCCTCCTCCTCCTCCTCCTCCTCCTCCTATCCTCCTCCTCCTCCTCCTCCTCCTCCTCCTCCTCCTCCTCCTCCTACTCCTCCTCCTCCGTCCCCCTTCCCCCCTCCCCCTTCCCCCCTCCCTCCTCCTCCTCCTCCTCCTCCTCCTCCTCCTCCTCGTCGTCCTCATCGTCGTCCTCCTCCTCCTCCTCCTCTCTCCTCCTCCTCCTCCTCCTCCTCCCCCTCCTCCTCCCCCTCCTCCTCCTCCTCCTCCTTCTCCTCCTCCCCTGCTCCTCCGCCTCCTCCTCCTCCTCCTCCTCTCCTCCTCCTCCTCCTCCTCCCCCTCCTCCTCCTCCTGCTCCTCCTCCTCCTCCTGGTCCTCCTCCTCCTCCTCCTCCTCCTCCTCCTCCTCTCCTCCTCCTCCTCCTCCTCCTCCTCCTCCCCCTCCTCCTCCTCGTCCTCGTCCTCCTCCTCTTCCTCCTCCTCCTCCTCCTCCTTCCCTTCCTCCTTTCCTCCTCCTCCCCATGCCCCCCTTCTCTCCCCGCCCAGGCGCCCCGGACGCCCGCGGCTCCTGCCGCTCCTCAGCTGGTACGAGACGCCGCCGAAGGCTGCGTCGGGGGCCACGCCCAGTCCTGAAGGGCCACGGACGCCCAGCGGCGATGGCACGGCCGAAGGCATTTTTAAAAGGGGCCCAGGGACATTCAAATTAAGGCCGGAGTGCAGCATCCCCAAACAGGATTTAAAAATCCATGGCTGGACCACCTCGCGGGCGGCATCTCGGAGCTCAGTATTGGAAGGATGTCCCAAGTGAAACGGGCCGTTCTACCTCTCGCTTCCCGTTGGGTCCTCTCATGCAGCTCCCTTCCTCCTCCCTCCTCCTCCTCCTCCTCCTCCTGCTCCTCCTCTTCCTGCCTGCTCCCTCCTCCTCTTCCTCCTCGTCCTCCTCCTCCTCTTCTCCATCTCCTCCTAGTCCTCTTACTCCTCCTCCACCTCCTCCTCCTCCCGAACAGCATCTTGGAGCTCAGAGTTGCGAGGATGTCTCGGGCGAAACGGGCTGGAACACCTCTCGCGCGGCATCTCGAATCCAAGAAATGCGAGGATGTCTCAGGCGAAACGCGCCGGACCACCTCGCGAGCGGCATCTCGGAGCTCAAACATTTTAGGATGTCTCAAGCGAAACGGGCCGGACCACGTCTTGCGCGGCATATCGGGGCCCAGAGTTTCGAGGATGTCTCGGGCGAAACGGGCCAGACCAACTCGCGCGCAGCATCTCTGAGTCCCGAGTTGGGAGGATGTCTTAAGAGAAATGGCCAGACCACCTCTCGCACGGCAGCTCGGAACTCAGAGTTGCGAGGATGTCTCAAGCGAAACGGGCCGTGCCACCCCACGCACGGCATCTCTGAGCTCCGAATTGAAAGGATGTTTTAAGCGAAACAAGCCGGACCACCTCGCGCGCAGCACCTCAGAGCTCAGGGTTGCGAGGATGTCTCATGCGAAACGGCCCGGACTGTGTCTCGCGCGGCAGCTCGGAGCTCCGAGTTGCGAGATGTCTCATGCGAAACGGACCGTACCACCCCTCGCGGGCCATTTCGGCGTCCCGAATTGCGATGATGTCTCAGGCGAAACGGGCTGGACCACCTCGCGAGCGGCATCTCGGAGCCAAGAGTTGCGAGAATGTCTCAGGCGAAACGCGCTGGACCACCTCGTGAGCGGCATCTCGGAGCTCAGTTGCGAGGACGTTTCAAGCGAAACGGGCCGGACCACCTCTCGCGCGGCATCTCTGAGTCCTGAGTTGCGAAGATGTGTCAGGCGAAACGGGCCGGATCACCTCTCGCACGGCAGCTCGGAGCTCAGAAGTGCGAGGATGTCTCGGGCGAAATTGGCCGGACGACCTCTCGCGCGGCATCTCTGAGCCGGGAGTTGCGAGGATGTCTAAAACGAAACGGCCCAGACCATGTCTCGCGCGGCATCTCGGAGCTCCGAGTTGCGAGGATGTCTCAGGCGAAACGGGCTGGACCACCTCTCGCGCCGCATCTCGGAGTTCAGACATGCAAGGATGTCTCATGCGAAACGGGCCAGACCACCTCTCGCGCGGCATCTCGGAGCTTAGATTTCGAGGATGTCTGAGGCGAAACGGCCCGGACCACCTCGCGCGCAGCGTCCCAGAGGCCGGATCTTCGAGCATGTCTTGGGCGAAACAGTCAATCCTGGCCAACTTAGGAAACGAGAATTGTGAGGACGCCGCATGCGAAACGGCCCGGACCACCACATTTTTTGAGGATGTCTCGACTCCGCTTTCCCTCGGCCGGAGCTAGCTTCTACCACAACAGCACCCCGTGCAGCAAGATGCTTGGGGAATGCATGCACACAAAACTCAGGATTCCCCCATACTTCTCCATATTTTGCCCTCCTGAGTGTTCTGTTCTGGTTGTGGTGCTTGCTTTGTGTCGTCTCCCTCTTTCGCCGACTCGACCGAGCCTGGGTCGCCAGCGAACATAGACGAGCGCATTCCACTACTCGCAAAAGTAACTACTCGCAAATGGCCTGCATCGCCCGCGGGGGATCTACGACAAATGATATCAAAGCGGACATGTGTTTTTCGGACGTTTGTGAGTAGGCACTTTGCGAGTAGTGGAACGCGCTCGGTGATTCGGCGACTCGACCGAGCCTGGGTCGCCAGCGAACAGCGTCAGCAACTGGGGTGCTTCTGACACTGCCGGGGGCAAATTCGCGATCAAAACGAGAGGCCGCCGACCGGCACGACAGCTGCTCGCTGGGGCCGCCGACGCCGATGCACGAAGCATACAGCCAACCCCTATCGTTGAATCGGGCGTGTCCTCCTACAGGGGGGTTTTCGACGAAAAATAAAACATACTCAAACAACATTCCAAAATTATTAAAACAATAGTCCCCGAAGAATTTTTGACTATTTTTGTATTTTCCTCCTGTAGAGAGACGAGCCCGACTTAACCCTATCGTAAGGACGCACGACAAGGGTGCAAGGGGCCTTGGAAGGCCATGCCGACACTTTTCGAGCGGGGCTGGCCAGCGAAAGTTGCCGGGGAGGGGCCGAAGGGGCAAGGATGCAAGGGTGCCCTTGGGAAGGTTGTTCATCCTTTCTATGCGGGCTGCCTGTACCCTGCTGAACCGCGCGGGCCCCAGAAAAGCAGAAGGATAACGAAAGGAAGACGAAGAAGGACGACAATGTGGTGGCGACGGCGGCACTGACGAAGATCTCCATGGTCTGAATTTGACCTCTCATCGCACCTCCCCTCCGCGGCCGTCCTGCCTCTCTGTCCTAAAGATTGCAATCCTGGGCCGCGTGTCCGACCCGCGAGGTCGCCAGGTTCGCGACCACACACTTTTTCCCAACCATCCTGTGACATTGGTCTTAGTTTTGAAGAGACAGCACCTCGCGTCACTCACTCACTCCTCGTTCCTCCTCCCTCCTTCCCCTCCTTGCCTCTGCCCTCCGCATGTACCTGTTTCGGTACACACCTCACACGTTTCGTGGCCCCATAGGGAGCTCCACCGAAGGTCCCAATGGCACCGCCCACATGCGTCCGCAACATCCAGTACAGCGTTTCGTGGCCCAAAAAAGAGCTCCACCGAAGGTCACAGTGGGACAGCCCGCATGCGTCCGCCACACCCAGTGCAACGCTTCGTGGCCCCATAGGGAGCTCCACCGAGGGTCCCAGTGGCACCGCCCACATGCGTCCCCCAGCTACAATGTTTCGTGGCCCAAAAGGGAGCTCCACCGAAGGTCCAAGTGGGGCCGCGCGCATGCGTTTGCCACACCCCAGTACAGCGTTTCCGTGGCCCATAGGGAGCTTCACCGAGTGTCCCACTGGGACCGCCCGCGTGCGTCCGCCACAACTTCGTGGCCCCATAGGGAGCTCCACCGAAGGTCACAGCGGGACCGCCCGCATGCGTCCGCCACACCCCGTACAGCGCTTCGTGGCCCCATGGGGGGGCACCACCGAAGGTCCCAGTGGCACCGCCCGCATGCGTCCGCCCCGCCCCGTGCAGCGCTTCGTGGCCCCATGGGGGGGGGGGGGGCACCACCGAAGGCCCCCGTGGCACCACGCGCATGCGTCCGCCACACCCAATTTAACGTTTCGTGGCCCCATGGGGAACTCCACCGACGGTCCCAGCGGGACCGCCCGCATGCGTCCGCTGCGCCCAGTGCAGCGTTCCGTGGCCCCATAAGGAGCCCCACCTAAGGTCACAATGGCACCGCGTGCATGCGTCCGCCACACCCCGTACAGCGCTTCGTGGCCCCATCGGGGGCCCCACCGAAGGTCCCAGTGGCACCGCCCGCATGCGTCCGCCCCGCCCAATGCAGCGCGTGGCCCCATAGGGAGCTCCACCGAAGGTCCCAGTGGGACGGCCCACATGCGTCCGCCACACTCAATACGTACAGCGTTTCGCGGCCCCATAGGGAGGGAGCACCACCGACGGCTCACGTGGCACCACGCGTATGCGTCACCCCCCACCCAATACAACGTTTCGTGGCCATGAACAACTCCGCCGAAGGTCTCAATGGGACCGCCAGCATGCGCTCGCTACACCCAGTGCAGCGTTTCGTGGCCACCGGGGGCTCCACCGAAGTCCCCAGTGGCACCGCCCGCAAGCGTTTCCACCACCACTACAGCACATCGTGGCCTCACACGGATGACCGCCGAATACCCCAATGGGACTGCCCGCATGCGACCCCCCCACCCTTTACGGCACGCCCCATCATGCATTGCGTGGCCTACCGAAAGCGGCACCCACAACGCGTTACTCACAACTGTTTTTGTTGTTGGGTCCTTCGGAGGAAACAACGGCGGCAGCTACACGTAATCTCTCAAAAGGTTCGCGCGTATTTCACGGATCGGCGCTGGACGCCCATGGCGCGCTCCACGCGCCAGGGAGGGGGTCTGGCGTCGATCCAGAACATCTGGTCAGACCTCCGAAAGACTTGTGTAGGTGGGGGGCGTCCTTGGGCGTCCTAGCTGCCAGGGCTGGATCCACGACAAAGTTCTAGCCATAACGCACCCCCGCAGGGGCCTGGGTGCAACTTCTTGAGCCCGCGGGCGGGTTTTGAGCCAAGGCCGTCGGCGGCGACAGTGTAGCCAAAAGCCGACCGAGATCTTGGAGCCAACGACCGACCGAAGCCAACAGGCCGTGCGCAGCCTGGAAGGGCGCAACAGCGTCACAACATCGGGCCGAACCGAACCGACCAAGCGCAACCGACATCGACGCAGCCGGAGCGATCGAACCGCGGACACCCCTGACATAAGAAGAAACAAGTGCATAAACATAACCTTTCCGAACGCCGCGCGGGTTGAATCACTTGGGTCTGAGCTGGGCCCCCCTCTCTGGCGCGCGGAGCGCACCAGGGGCCCAACGCAGATCTAAGAACTCCGCGCGGAGCTCCGAGTGTATGCTTATGCGATGTTCTCTGCCTCAACCTGACCTCTCCCGCCCCCCGCCTCCTCCTTCTCTCTCGCCCGCGCCTCGCCCAGGTGCTGTCGCGCGTGCGAACCCAGGTCAATGCACCCCTGGCTCTGCAGGGCCTGCAAGTCCGGCGCTCTGGCTGGCCCCCATTTGCATTGGCCCCCCGTCTCGAGGCCCCCGCTTGCCGCGCGCGCAGCTGCCGCTGGCCTCCCGCGCGCCTCGGGCAGGGCCCCGCGGGCGGCGCCCTGCGCGGGCCACGTCGACGCCTCGGCTGCGCGGGCCGGCCGCGCCCTGCAGCTGCCGCCGCTGTCCTGAACCCCCCTCGGGGCTCCCGCAGGCTCTCGCGACCTGCGCCGGCCCAGGCTGGACCTCGACTTTCGGGGCGCTGCAGAGCGCGCGGCCGACGCCGCTTTCTGGCGCCCCTCGGCCGATTGCGCTGAGTTGGCGCATGGCCGCGCCTCCTTGGGGGCCGCCCTGCGGGCCGCTCTCGCCACCTCCTTCTGTCCCTGGGGGATCGCGCAGTTGACCGGGTGACGTCCCATGGGGGCCCCAACTACTTAGACCTCGCCCCTCAGGGCTCTGCCGAGCATGCGCCTGTCGCCAGCTTCCTGTGCCCGCAAGGGGGCCCAGCGGAGTAACATCTTGCGGGGGGGGGCCTTTTTGGGCGCCGCCGCGAGCGCAACTGTCGTTACTTTCCTGCGCCCCTTTGGGGGTCCAGCGGACTGCTGTCCTCCAGGTGCCCAGACTGGACTTCGAAACCCCGTGTGCGGCCAAGCGTTTTTTGGCTGTCAGAACTCAGCTGCGGCCCTGGGGGCCTTCGTGGTCCAGCGGAACCGCTCCTGTCGGACCAGAGCATGCGACGCAAAATCTCATTCCGTGGTGGCTACTGAGAGAAACAATTGTGAGAGCAAGTTTCTTCTGACGCTGTGTGAAAGTCACGGAATGGCGCGACGTGCTGCAACTAAGACCCCGTGCAGTTTGACTTGTCTGAATATTGTCACGTGTGGCCTTACTCGTGGGGGCGTTCAAGGGCGGCGGTGATAGCGCGCGTGATGGCCCGAGGCATGTGCGCAGTCAAGGAGGGGGCTGGGGCACGTATTGACAGACCAAGAAAAGGGCCACGAGGTCCGGGGAGATATCATGGCATCCGCCATGATGCACCCATCAACTATCACCCCCTTTTTGGCCGCCGTCGACGTCATCGCGCGGAGCTTGCCCGCATGTAACCTGTACCAACAAAGAGGAAGTTAATGTCTAATGGCCGGTTTTGACCACCTAATCGTCAGGACTCCTGGAACCCATTTGCCGAAGAACGTGCTCAGTGGGATGGGTGTTCCCAGTCCAGTGTCCAGTCGGTTTCCAAATCGGTCTGTAACCACAATCCAGAAAACACCTCCCGCATTTGTTCTATCGGCCTCATTGCTACAGTCTGGTCCGGCTACACAAGCTATTCTAGGTCAGTGTGCTTTACACTTTGACGCGCCATGCGCTCTCAAGTTACAACCCGTCTTAGGCCGCAGACCAACCAAACTGCAATATTGGCCGAAGGCAGGCGACATCGCAACATCCAGGAACGCCCAGAACGGGTTCCCATGCTTCATCAGCGCAACCAATCGGCCGAGTGCAGCTCGCTTGACCCGGAATGATCCACATGCCAGCCTCCCACGGAGATGTGATCACAAGAACCTCTAGCGTGGTCTGGATGCCAAACGCTCACGAACGCCTTGACTCATCGGTGGCTTGTAATTTCGGGCGACGGTGGTGGCGGCGGCGAACGCGTCTGCGACGACGACGACGGCGACGACGACGGCGGCCACGGCGACGACGCGGACCACCGCGTCGAGCTGTCTTGTAACTCGAACTTCTGCCCAGCGAGATCCTCGCACGAAGCCAGCGACCCTTACAGGGCGCCATCCTGACCAGCTCTCTCGAGCTGCGCCCAAGCATGGCCACGAGGGCCCCACAGGGAGGATCCAAAATGACTGAACACTTCGGGAGGAGGAGGAGGAGCATGGGCATGAGCATGACCGTGGGGCGCCGATCCATGACCACTCTACTGAATGCAAACAACATACAGCACAGTATGACACCGGAGAAGCGGTGCCTGGGTTCTCCGTCTGGAGGACTAGCTGAGGTCGCCGAGCGTGCAGATCGGCGCCCGCGCGGGGCCGACACTGGCCAGGCGGCGGGCCCAGCAGGCGCGCAGCCCTGTGGCTGCCGCCATCGGCACCGTCTCCAAGCTACCTGCTTGGGCGGTGCCGTCCTCTTCCCTTACCTGGCAGTCGGGGGCGAGGGAGTGCGATGGCTGGCCCAACTTCGGGGGCCGATGGACAATAAACAAGGGTCGGGAAAGCAGCAGCAGCGGGAGGAGAGGGAGGGGGCTCATGGCCAGGAGGAGCAGGGATCACAGCAGGGAGAAGAGTAGAAGGGGTTGGGACCTCAACCCTTCCTGAAACTCTTAGAACAGCCGGTTCGCTCAGATGTCCCGAATTCAAGAGCCTCTGAGCGTGATGACTGGAAGCCCAATCGGTGCCAACCCCAGAAAACTGAAACGAACTGTAATATCCACTTACATTGCTAGCCTGATCCTCACCTACTCGTGAGCGAGTCTCTCCCTCAGGTACAAGTTTAGCCGCTCGGGTCGGCGAGAGCCCGCGGAGCCCTCGAGCGTAACCCATGTCCGAAGCAACTCCTAGAAGTAACTGACCAGGAGAGAGAGAGCGGGCTCGGTGATCACTTCATCTGGTCGAGAGACCTCAGGGCCTCCCTCACTAGACGTCCCCTGGGAGCCCCGCCGATAGCTTTGACTGCCCCCTGCTCCACGCGCGCCGCGCGGTAGGCCTGCACGAGGGTCCCCCCGTCGGACGTCGTCGTGTCGAAGAAGAACTGGAACTTCGCCTGCTCGTGCTGGTAGGCGTTCTTGATTTTGAGGAACATCATGCGGCAGTAACGCGCCGTGTCTTGGAGCATGTTCAGTGACTTGATCGTCATCACCTTCAGCGTGCCATCCGCCTCGTACTCCTCGTCCTTGTCCAAGAGCCCGTCGAGCATACGCTGGGACGCTGCGGCGTCGAGCGTTGTGAGGTACGTGTCGTGCACCTCGCCCATCATCACCCTCACCTGCGCCTCGTCTGTCAGCACCAGCTTGATCCGCTCCACCACGAACTCCTCTAACGTCTGGCGCTGCAGCGCGCCCATGCCGCCGCCGCCAGCCTGTAGGCCAGGGCCCGAGCCGACTCCCTGCCCGCCTCCGCCGCTGCGCCGTGCCTCCTTTTGCGCTGGTGGTCCGCCTGCCTTGCGCTTGCCCAGCCAGTCGGGAAGCATCTGGGCGTCCTCCATCAGCTGCTGGTAGCTGCTCGTCAAGATAAATGTGCTGCCTTCGATCGTACACTCTCAAAACTTGAGGTAAATGACTACAGACATGTTGTTGATAATCGGGGAGTTCGGCTGCATGGTAACCACATATCTTGCATCAGAGATCCACGGGCTCCTGTAGTGGTTCCTGGGAGTGACCCCCTCCAGCATAGCAACACCCACGGCCCATAGACCCCACCAAATGCCGAGCCGCCGTCACACGACTAGAAAACAACTCCAGACAACTAGGGCATTGGTTCGTAGTACACAATACGTGGCCCAGTGAACGAAGATGATGGTGAAATCTAAGATGATTGAGCGCCGACTTCTTATCCATGAGTGTTGCATTACATCGACTTTTCCCCCCGATGGTCGTGACGTCCTCGCCCTCTTCCTCCTTGTACACTCCGCATACCCATTTTACAACTCCACCCTCCACCACCTCCTGCTCGAGAACCTGATCCAAAGGGGACTCGTATTCAGGGGACGGTATAGCTACAGTGTGATGTTTCCTCCGAAGCTGGGTGAAATCGATCATGCAAAAGTCTCTCCCCAAAGTCTTGTCCCAGAAGAGGGCGAGGAAAGACCCCTGTAGGCGAGTGAGAAGTGTTTCTCCTTCTTCCAGAGACTGCAGCGCCTCCAGATCTGCATAGAACATCCTTGCCCACGGATTCGCGTATGCTGTCAGCCGCCCCATGTAATCAAACTGCGGCCTCTCGTCCGTGGGTAAGGTGCCGAACATCGCAGCCAAAATCTGCGCGTTCCGCCGAGGAAACTTAACACATTGGGCAAGCCATCCAAGCCTGCGAATTCTGAGCTCGGTGAAAGACGGGACCATGCGCCAGTGCTCAAGCACCTTCGCGTTCGACATGCTCTGTGTGTGCCGTTCCCCTTCGAAGCTAGCTCCTTGCATAGCGGAGGAGGAGGAGGAGAAGGAGGAGGCAGAGGAGGAGGAGGAGGACGAGGATGACGAGGAGGAGGAGGAAGTCCCGAGGCCCCGCTGAAGTCCTCGAAGGTCTCTGAAGCCGGAGGTCCCCAGAGGTCCCAGGAGGCCTCCTGAAGGCTCCCGAGAGAGAGGTGACGAGCAGAACGGGGTTGGTACGCCCGAATTGGGGACGATACCCAACAACAAGTGTTGCCTGGCCCAGCTGCCGGGCAGGCGGCTTTGTGTCCCAGGTGGACAACGTCCGCGGCGACACCGACAACGAGTCCTGGACAAAATGGGCAGGAACTGCTCAATTTCGATCTTGCTGAGAGGGGTCGGATCGCGGCATAGAATCGAGTTCGACTCGGATCGACGGTGCCAAAATGCAGAACCCCGCCGTGTGAACGTCAGGCCACTTCGGATCGTCGGAAGTTTGGAATCGAGTCAGATCGTGTCCGCCGAGATCCACATCTGATCGGATCGAAACGGACGGACCCTGGGGGGAAGGAGGAAGCAGAAAATCCGGTCCTCTTTCTGGGGGTCCAGACCCCTTCCCAGGGACCGGTTTTTTACTCCGACTCGTTTTCCGTCGGCCCCGCGGCCCCGCAGGGGCCCCTGGAGGCCCCGAACTGCCAAGAACCTTCTGTCGCGAGGTTTGTTGTTCGCAGCGCGAGGAGGCCTCTGCATCCCTGTCTCGGTCGTGCCGACCCGGAGAAGGAGGAGGCCCCGCGGGGGCGGTCTCGACAGCGTCTTGTAGACCATCCGCAGCACGGAGCGGTGGCCGGGCCCCGCCAGGTCCAGCACGTACCTGCCGTTCGGCTCCGTCGGGTTGAACACCTTGCAGCCCTGCGCGGGAGCTCGTCGTCGTCGCCATCGTCGGAGAAGGGTGATAGAACAGAGAAAAATATGAGGATGAGGGTGAGTATGCTTATGCCGATGATGATGAGGATGATGATGGTAATGATGATGATAACTGTAGTGGTGTTGATGACGACAACGACGACAACCACGACGACGATGATGATGATGATGATGATGATGATGATGATGGTGATGATGATTATGCTGGTGATGAGGGTGGTGGTAGTGATGACAACGACGACAACGATGACGATTACGACTATGTTGATGTTGTTGATGATGATGACGGTCATGACGTTGATGATGATGGTGGTAATGATGCTGATATTGATGGTAATGCTGATGCTGCTGATGATGATGAGGATGTAATGGTTATTCTGCGGCCATTAAGTATGATTCTGATCTTTATGCTGATGGGAATTATGATTAGCATGACCTCATCCCTCCTGCTCCTCCTCCTCCTCCTCCTGCAACTGTTGGTGCTGCTCCCTCCACCTGCTCGTCGTCCTCCTCCTCCTCCCTCCTCGCCATCCCTTTTCGCCCCTTTTTTTCTCCTTACCATACCTCCTCCCGAAGTCCTCGCTCGTGATTCTCGTTCGTGGGGCCGCGTCGGCATGTATTTTGTTGACGTAAACATCTCCCTTTTGCATAGCTCAGCCTTCGGAGCAACGGTCAACAACATAAGCCTCCCTAGTCCCTCGTGCTCCTCTTTGCTGCTGCTGGTGGTGTTCCTCCTCTTCCCCCCCCCCCCGCCCCCTCCCTCCACCCTCATCGTGACTCGCCCTCCCTCCAGCTCCTGCCCCTATGTCTGCTCCTGCTCCGCCTCGTCCATCCCGTCCTCGGAGGCCGGCGAAGTGGGAGGATGCGAATACGGAAGGAGTTGGATGGAATGTGGTATTGTTTGTTTCGGTACGCGGAGACGAGGTGTCAAACTGTAAGACGCGTGTATCACGAGTACGAAAAGAGTTCCTGGGAGCCCGTAAGTGACGGCGAGGGGAAAACAAGCAGAGAGAAGGCAGATCTACCGTTCGAGTCTAGTGCTCATGCGAGTATGTCGTGCCTCGTCGGTCCACTCGCGGTAGTCGCGAATGAACCAACAGAGCAAACCAACCATGACTCGCGAGAGGACCAACCACGCCCCGCATAAAGAATGCAAGCGGCAGACAATTCATGGAGCACGGCCTCATTCACCTGCATGCTCCACTTTTAATCGTCTGCTGCTCCACGAACATAGCCCGCGGCAACAACCCTCTCACATGTATTCTTCAGAACGTCGCATTCGCGAGCATAGCTCGCGAGATGCGAGCGTATTCCTTGTCGTTCGCCATGGGGCGTCGTAGCCTGTAGTACTGGGCGAGCCGATGCCTTGGTCTTTCTGGTCGACCTTCGACTCGTGGGTGAGACTGCTGTGGCAGGAGTTCGGCTGTCTTCCTGTGCGGCTCCTCGCTCAGGCTGGCGGCGTCGCTGTCGAAACTGAGTCTCCCGTCCACGATGTTAAGAATGAGATCCCAGCTGATGCTCTCCTTCGTCATGGGGTCGCCCATCGTGTCGAGTATCGCGCCAAATCGTCTCTTCGATCTGCTCGGTGCGAAGCTGGTCTCATAGCCGACGCAGGTGGCCAGCCGTGCTGTTCCCCTGAGGGCGGTCGAACCGATTCCATGGCCAGGGCTGCGAAGACGGGCGCGCTCTCTACGACCAGCTCGGCCACCATGGCGTAACCGCCTTCCGCCCTGAGTCTCCGGATCTCTGCTGAGGCGGGTCCGCGCGCTGCCTCGTGGAGCGTCAGGAGGTGCGCCTGAAGGCCGTCGACTGCCCGGCGTGCGGCGAGCAGCTCTGGACCAAATGATGATCGGCGCACCTGCTTGTGCGATCGGCCCACAGCGTCGAGCAAGTAGCATACCTGTTTACCGGTGCTGCGGAACTTGCCCATGCGCGTGTATACGGCTCCTCTCGCGCCGTAACCTGTCTCCTCCTCCCAATTGAACGACCCGTTGCTGCGCGCGCAGTCGCCCGGCGCGCTCCATTGCTGGAGGCGATGCGCGCCTTGATCTTCCGCGTGGCCAAATCTTGGAGTTGAGTTGTGTCGCGCGACGGATGCGCAGCTCATTCTTGGCTCTCTGCAGAGCGACGACGCGCGCGGCGACGTGTCGCTGCAGCGCGCGCGCAGCTGCTTCAAGGGCGGAGACAAAGAAGTCCGGAAGTTCACCTCCAGCCGGCTCGTCGGACTTCGCCTTGACCAGGTCGACGTGCCTGGCGGGGAACAGGGCTTCGATGTACTCGTCCTGGTCGAGCGTCAGTCAACCATCGGCGCTGCGGCGCGGGTGGGCCCCGCAGCTGGTGAAATCGTCGCAGTCCCCCTTCATCTTGCCGAAGACGCTCTCGGCGTGGCCGATCAGCCAGTCGACGTGCTTTTGGCGCCCAGCGATCTTCAGATCGTCGACGCGCTCGGATAGCACGAGCACTGTCTGCGAGTCGCTGGCGCCTTGGGCACCCGAAATCTCGTGCTTGACCTCTAGCTCCGTGCCCCGCCTTGTTGGCTGGGCGTTGCATTCTAGTGGGCGCGTGGCCTGGGCGACCTTCGTGGAGAAGGCTCTGGGCGCGCCTTCGCAGCCCGTGCCTGGTTTGACGCAGCGCAGGCACTCGGTCCGCTCGTCGATGGCCTCATAACCTGGCACCTTCCTGCAGATGGCTGCACGCACTGCCAGGTGGCAGGGTGAAGTTCACCTCGCGAAGGGCTTCGCCCTGTTCTTGCATCTCGGCGTAGGTCATGCCCTGCAGGAGCGCCTTTCGACGCTCTTGGCGACGTGCGCCCAGTCTGGGCAGCGCGCCGCCTCAGAAGACAAAATGCGTTGTGACGCCCGCTTCGCGGTCATGGCGAACGTCTCCAAAGCTCCGACGTCCATGCCGCGGAAGCCTCTCATCGCCGTGCGGCACCGGGTGATCCTGGCGGTCTTGCCGTCCGCCCCCTTCCAGTGCCACCGCTTGAAAACATGCCTGGGGCCCATGACTTGTCGGGCACACTTGAGCGGTCGCCTCTCGAAGCACTTGTAATTGGCCCAGATGGTGAGCTCCTCGAGGATGGCTGTGGCGACTTCCGTAGACAGTCCAGACACTTCCTTTTTGATAATGAGATCGGTGTCGCGATTGATGACTGCGACCTTGACGGTGGCATATACTTTAAAAGCGGCTGTCGTGGAAGCGCCAGCGACATAGTCGCCGGACGGTTCCTCGTCACAGCTCAGGAATGCTTCGCGCACCCCTTGGTCCAAGTACAGCTCCACATGTTCTGCTTCTTCATCCTCCTCTTCAAGCGTGGCGTAGTCGTCCGCGGAGGCGCCGCGCGCTGGCAGTTGTGGCGCTGCGCGTGTATGGTCTGACGCCTGTGCTGCGTCGCCAGGTGCTGAGGCGGCTCTTGTAGCCTGCGGCCTAGGCCGGCCGCAGCGTGCTCGGCGGCATCGGAGATATATGTTGCTGCCTGTCGGCGCTCTCTAGCTCCTGCAGCTCCCGGGCCAGATCCTCTGCCCCTTCGACTTCGCGCCAAGCTGTCAACATCATTTGCTGGATGTGGCCCGAGAAATCGCTACCGGCCTCTCCTGGTATTACCGATCGGACTGATGGTGAACCGCCCTCGGTGACGCTGGCGGTGTCCTCGAGGACATCGATGACGCAGCCATGGAACGCCCCGTCTGGGTCCTGTCTGGCATCTGCTGCGTGCAGCGGTTCGTCACCCAACGCAAACTGTATGATGCAAGCTTCCTTCCACTGCTCGCCAATGAGCTGGTGGGTGTCGAACTTGACGCCGTCCAAGTGTAGCTGTTGGACGTCGTTCGGAGTCCGAGGGAGCCACCAAATTACCAAGCTGCGGGTGCAGCCCGGTCTGGCTGCGTGCAGAGACGTACTGCACGAACGTCTGGTAGCTGAAAGCATCTGCGGGACAAATGGCGCAAGGCCTCTGGGATGTCGGGGCGTTGCCGAGCCTGCTCCGTCAGCTGCCATCGTCCCAGTGGGCGAAGGTCCTGGCCCCGAAGCCCGCATCCTGCCACGCCTTCACCTCGGGCACGACGTCGCCCGAAGTATCGACCTCTTCCCTGGGCTTCCCCGGGGGTGGCCTTCGCCCCAGATCCGTTCTTCATGGCCCCAGGGCCCGATCGCCGGTCTCCGAGGGCCGAGATCGAGGAGAAACTCTCAAGCTGCAAACACAACATCGTCGGATATCTGGGTCTCTTTTACTGCCTCCACCAGGAGCTGCCCTGGAGGCCGTCGTCGACGGCGCCGTCGTGAGGCCCGACTCCTGACGTCTTGATCTGTTCATTACGTTGGCCCGCAGAGGTCTCGACGCAGGAGGAGGAGGAGGAGGAGGAGGAGGAGGAGGAGGAGGAGGAGGGATAAGAGGAGGATGATGAGGGCGAGGAGGAAGTGGAGGAAATGGAGGAAGAGGGAGGAGTAAGGAGGAGGAAAGAGGAGGAGGGAGGAGGGAGGAAAAGGGGGAGCAGGAGGAGGGAGGAGGAGGAGAGGAGGAGGAGGAGGAGAAGGAGGAGGAGGAGGAGGAGCGGGAGGAGGGTGGGAGAGGAGGAGGACCAGGAGGAGGAGGAGCAGGAGGAGGAGGTGGAGCGGGAGGAGGAGGAGGAGGAGGAGGAAGAGGAGGAGGACAAGATGGGAGGAAGAGGAGGGAGGAGTGAGGGATGGAGGGAGGTGCTGAGGAGGCCCGCCTCCTGCCACGATTTCACCTCCGGCACGACGTCGCCTTTGTAGCAAGAGTCGATGTCGAAACGCCGCAGGCCGCTGTTCGGCCTGTCGCCCAAGCGCCGGCTGGGTTCGAGCAACTCAGAGGAGGAAGAAGTGCAGACAGCAATGATGATGCTGCTGCTGCTGATGATGATGATGATGTTGTTGATGATGATGAAGATAATGTCGATGATGATCGTGATGATAATGATAATAATAATGATGATAATGATGATGATGATGATGATGATGATGATGAT